CTTAATGAATGAACTTTATAGCAGCCTCTCCATTAGCTTGCCTAGGATATTCAGTATCTTACCTGTCCCCATTGTGCTGGCCCTTTTGAATACCAGTATGATGWGGAGACCATTTGAGGCTTCTGGAGTTTAACTTCCCTAAGTCAATATSAAGGAAGATCTCCAGTCAGGTTTTTGTTTTTAGAACCACAGAGTCCACTTATAGAGCAGTAGATAAATACTTCATATCTGTATAAAACAGAAGTTATTATTTCCTATGTAACAGATGTTAAAACCCCTCTGGTGGACAATGGCTCAACACAGAAATGATCTTCTGATGCACTCAAACATTGCTGTGTCTTTTATGCTGTAATACAAGATCAAGGTTTTAGGTCATGATCAAGCATTTACAGCCTCAAAGCCAATCAAAAGAAGAAAGGTGTCCCAACAGCCTTGTTCAGATTAACTATTACCAAGTGCAGTGGTTGCTGTGGAAGTTAAAGATAAAACCTGCAGTAATTGTGAGACAAGATGATAACAATATCCAATATCATCACAAAGAAGAAAGACTGGTTCTTTGAATCATGCTGGAGGAAAGAATATGGTCCTATAAACATGGGTATATGAAGAAAATGGAAAGAATCATAATGCCACCTTTGTGCAGAAAAAGTGGGCAATCTAGAGGACAGCAGAATCSTCCAATCCTGCAGAGAGATGGTGGAATAAACCATGACATGACAGATCAGCCCAGCTGACCCAATCCCATCACCTGCCCTGCCACTGTATTCATGAATTATCAGCATGATTAGAGGAAGTTGTAGTGAAATGAGTGGGAGAGAATCATCAAAGGAGCCCTGTGAGACTTGGGGAAAGGAAGAGCAGAAATGCAGGGAAAAAAAAACAAAACAACCCAACCAAAAAACTAGAGCTGCATTAGTAGAAACTCATGATTCATTTTGGTTACTTTCCCCATAATATTGCTTTCTTGGCTATTGGCAGTCAGTGGAGGAAGGCTCTACATCAAGACATCCTAAATTGTGGAAGGCAACTCAATGGACATGTAAACTGGAGCTTTATGAATATCTTCAATTAAGCATATTTATCTGTAAAGCACTGCAAGAACATGACTGAGAGACCCTCTCCCATGTTGTTTCATTCAGAGTTTGCATTGTAACTGGACAAAACATAAGGATGAAAAAAAGAATGTGTTAATTTATATACACTGAAGGGCAATAAAGGAGCATAGTTACATAAATGAAACAATGAAAACGTGTCATTAAAATCACATCAATGTTTTCCTTTTGCCACAAGAGTTGATGGATGGCTAATTAGTCTCATTTGACCCAAGATTTACTTGAAATGAAGTCATCTTTAAACTTGTTTTCCTGTTCCTGTTGTTAATGATGTCTATCAGAGCCTCCCAGAGMAGTTGCCCTGGGTAATCTGTTCTTTTCCTACCTCACTTTCCCTGCAGGTCCTTCCTCTTTTTCCTGTTTATCAGCTTCTCATTTCCTATCATTAAACAGTAGATCATTACACAGATATGGAAGAYTTGATGGTTTCCTTCTCTCTTCTCTTCAAGGGTTTCTGATTAAGATTTCTATTGTATTTCCTAATTAGCCTCTCCTGAAGAAAGTTTTATGCTGCTTTCCTGTTTATATTTTTTCTGAAGGAATATTGGTAAAACTTTTTATACCATGTTTCAAAGAAATCTTTAAAGCATAATTTCCTTCCTGGACTCTGTGGGCAGTGTGAATATAGCCTATTTATTACATTTGCAATTGAATAGGGACAGGAAAGCATGAGGCATCCATTTTGATAATTTTAGGGAGCTGTTTTTGGACATCCTGCCATAAGAAACAATAAACTGAAAAAGTGGTGAAAYGAAAGTCATTAGTGAACCAGACTGCAGAGTAGTCCAAGATGACTTGTTGACAGAAAAGTGAGAACTTGTCAAAGTGCCAGAGCCTAGCTTAATGGCAACCAGAGAAATGTGGAAAATAGCTTATTAGGGGAATTTACAAAGAAAAGAGAAGTAGAATACACTGCTCGCTGCTTTCCTGTTGACCAACAACTCCAACTTGACTGTGGAATTCTCAGCCCTGCGAGCTACTGCATTTCAGAAGTGTCTCTGGATGTGGCAGAACTGCCAGCCTTGGTCTGGGAGTACTTGATCCATCCTTATGTGTTTCCACACAAACTGTTTCCTGCTGTCTGGTGCCCAACCACCCAGCTGACAGCTCATCCCATTTACTTAAACCTCAACAGAAAATCCAACAAAGCATTTACAAACATCTCCCAGTGCAGGCAGAATCTCTCCCTCATTCAGCTAAAGATGCATTTGAAATTATATGGCATTTGACTGGTTGAGAGGAGAATTTCTGTACTGTTCTTTCAACCCCATGTCCAAGAGTCTATTATTATCATTTATTAAGGCACAGAGGCTGGTATCATCCCCAGCCCTCACTTTCTKCATCCAGCCTCATGCCCAAGGACTCGCTACCCTTTCAGTAAAGAATTTCTTCCTAACATCTAATCCCAATCTCTCCTCTTTTAGTTTAGAACCGTGGAGGTTCTAAAAGGAGATGCCATTTGATCTTTGCTCGTGCTGGGCTTCAAACACACACAAGTTGCCCCAAGCCCAAGCCTCACATGACAAAATTCCTGCAAGCTGATGGCACATAGGGGAATGTGACAGCTGCAGCAGGACAACACTGATCCCCTGCTTGGGGACACAACTTGGACAGAGAGTAAGGACTTCTGTCTTGGGGTTTCTCACACATTTTCTACAAGGTGTTTCTAGGGGAACTCATTCTACAGAGAAACACTTTCACTACCAAATCTCTCCCTTCACACATTCATACATACACACTCTCTTTTTTTAAATTTGCCAGGAGCTTTTTCTCTTCAGGCTTGTYTTGAGCTTTGGAGACAAAACCAAACTGAACATCAAGTTACCTCATTTTATGTAAACCCACGTATCTTCATTTTCAGGCTGGACTTCAAAGTACATTTCTGTGAGCTGCTGCTGTCATGTATCAAACTTGTGCTCCAGCAGGACTCCAACCASTGCAGTGTGACCTGGGAGAGGTGAAGGAGGAAGGCAGCCAAACAGCACATCTGGCAGTCTAAACCTGTGTTACTAATGGAAGGCACAACCGTCACACACAAGGGCTTGGCTTAACCCTGAAACAGCAGGCTGGAAGAGGAGAGGGTATGAACATGTGGTAACCCTTGAAATGTAGAAATAAAGCAGCAAAAGATGGGTGGATCTGACTTTGAAATAGTCACACATTATCCCTTTCAGTTGCCAGCAGCTTGTTCAAGACCACAGCAGCTGCAGCCAAACCACCCAGCAACAYAGGCTTTGTGCAGACTTGCCCTTGTTGTGGCTTCTGACCAAACATTCCTGCTTTCCCCTCCTCCCTGCAGCTTTCCAGCCACCTGCTGCTACTTTCAGCTTTCTGCTGCTATATATATTCTTTTTAATCTCTCCTGAATCYTGCCTACTTTTTCTGAAGGGAAGATGAAACTGGATTTTTTCCAAGGAGGCTTTTCTAAGGAAGCAAGTTCTTCATCATGTCAGGYCATTAATCYTTTTTTACCTYCCCTTCAGCCATATTTGAGGCAGGGAAGTGATCTGAGAGGCTGTAAGTTTCTACATGCAAAAGATCATAGAATCATTGAATACCCTGAGCTGAAAGGGACCCACAAACACTGAATTCCAGTTCCTGCACAGGACAATCAATCACAGTACGTACCTGAAAGTATTGTCCAATTGCTTCTTGAACTCTGGCAAGCTTGGTGCTGTGAACTCTTAATACTCATGCTGTGAAGACAACASAGTTGGGTTTTTTCTTTCCCTTTGCTGCTGGGACCATGAGACAGAAGGAGATTATAGTAGGGTATTTCACTGGGATGCAGCTAGGAACAAAAACCTGGCCTTGCTGCAGGGCAATGAGAGCAGAGGATTCACTTAGATGAGACTTATGGCCAGTATGAGGCCTGACAAAGCAGACCTTTATGCACATATATACACACAAAAAAAGATAAAATCTGACTGCAACAAGTGTGCAGGAGGACCAGCTCCCTGCAGGCAGTCTAATGAGAGCCAGCATTTTGTTTCACACAGGTACAGGCCAGCCTGCTTCTCAGGCAGCAAGGCCTGAGCTCATGACTCAAGTTCTAGCAATAGCTGCAGTTTGTTGCTTGGTCTAGAAGAGACCAAAAAAACCCAAAAAACAACCCTCCTAAAAAAAACCTCCCTGCACTAATAGTTTCTCAGACACTGCCTGGAGCTTTACAATAGCATTCAGTTTTCCAGCAAACACTTCCATGACATCCCAGGGGCAGCTCATTGAAAGCCATGGAACACTGCAGTCACAGGCTGTGGAGCAGGTAGGAGGTGACTGGAGACATCTGGAGAGCAAGTGTCACTCCTACCTAGATATTTCAATGTTAAAGAAACTAGACAATTCAAAAGATTAATTCCAATCCTGTATTCCAAAAGGAATTCTCAGACTAATTACAGAGCATTTGTAGCAATCATTAGCAGAGGCAACAGCATTAACCTGGGGGGTACTATGGTCCCATATAGTCCCATCCCAACTGTGGCATTCCTGTCTCTTCATGAGTTTYTTCCAAGCAATTTTAACTGTTATTTCAAAAAATACGAAAATATAAATCTTCTTCACTTCCCAAAGTTAACAGTGGAAAAATAAACTATGGAAGCATCAATGCATATTTGAACAGATCCCCTTCTGAATCCCACAGTTTTTACATTTTCTAAATCTAGGTGTTAAGAAGAACACTTCCATTACAAAAAAAAAACCCAAAACAAAACAGAAAAATAAAAAGAGAGAAGCAATTTTCTTCATTCTCCTAAAATTGAACAGACTGGCTCCACCATCTTTAAGAAGAAATTTCACAGTTAAAAAAAATAAAGACATCTTCACCAAAAATCTATTTTTCATACTTGCAKCTATTTTCTTTCTCAGACTTGCAAMTTAATTTCRTTTTCTAGATCTCCAAYATAARTGTTTTTGGCYAGGTTTACTACAAGATAAGAAACATACCAAAACATTTCCTCACTGTCCTATATTTTATTGTTAATTATTACCAATAAAATAATGTGTTCTTTAAAAAGTAAAAAAMCAGTATAAAACCATAGTCATTAGAATATTATATAAACACACAGAAAAAAAACCAGCTTAATACATGTTTTCTATCATATCAAAGAGTACATACTTTAGTACACAGCAAATAAAGGTTCTGATTTCAAMTTCAAATAGTCATTTTATATTTACTACAAAAATATTAAATGAGATTTTTCAAAAGCAATCCTCRAGTCCAGATGCAATCTCTCACATGTTAACTGCACAGAAAACACAACTTTTGGGAGCAAAGTTAACCACAGAAGGAACAAATTCTAATGCAAATCCTTATCCACCAGAAACAGACTGGCTTCCTAATCTCCAGSTTCCTTTTCAATGCAGGTACCTTCCCTCATCTCAGCTCTTCCTGACTTTTTTTTTATTCCTGTATCTTGTGCAAATAAATGCTCTAGAAAAGTTTCACAGGTCATTTCTAAAACCTCCTGTCTTCAGTGTACCTAACAGAGGTATCAGGTGCTCACTTGTAAAGCTCCAGCAGCCTAAATTTACAGCCTCATGAAAGATTCCTTTGGTGAAAAGGTGTAAGATMACAGCAGTGTGGCCAGCTCAGAACCTCATTCACAGGAATCCCTAGAGTGCTCTGCAGGGCACAAATACAATAAGCACATGGACCTTTCCATGCTAAGGAACTGACATGAAAGCAGAGTTAAACTGTACATCTGGAGAGGGAGACTGTGATTTAATTGTGGTTCATAAAAAAATACTTTTAAAATACATGACTTGAGCTCAGCTTCCTTTACATAACGTGCATCGACAATGCAAACCATCCTTCTTCATTTTGCTTTTCTACCTGTAAAAGAAGAAAACAGTTGAGATTCATATACAGTAAATTTCCCCCAGACTTGTGTGTTAGGACTGTGGTCTGCCATTGGCACCACAGAGGAAGCCACACCAACCTTAATAATTTCAAATTTCCCTTCTGGGGATGTGTAAGTTTGCTGTCAGGATAAGGAGTCCTGGACCCTAACTCTTTATCACTCCTAATCTAGGTTATTTTAGACACATATTTAGAAATATGTTATTAATAATGTCCTCATGGCTACTTTTAAGCCAATAAACAGCTCGTGGTTCATCAGACCTTACCACTGCAGAGTTCCTGGTGAAAGCATCTCACTGCAGGCCATCCCTTTCTTTGCACATCAGGAGTCAGAAATCTGACTGGGGATTTTTCTTTATATTTGGATTTATTCATCCTTCAGCCACTAACTTGTGAACAGCTAGATTAAGAATTTGCTTGTCTCTTGACTGTGGCCCTACCAGTACATCATAGTGATGGCTTGGGATTCTCCAGAGCCACCAGGGAAATAATTCCAAAGGTTTCCAGTTCTAACACACAGAGATGCCACAGCAAAAGAGAATTATTCACTTGTAAATAACAACTATGTGGCAGAAAATAATGAATGTCACTAGATCTCAGGTATCTTCTTACCAATTATCTATAATCCAAACTGCCATGAATCAATTCATTATAGCCTTGGTATATTAAAAATAAGACAGAGCTCCCTTCCCTTCATCAATCTTAYGATGATCTTTTTGCTTTTATGACAACATAATCAAATTTTCTGGTTGAAGATTTTTCAGTTCTTACCTTTGGTCTTTGGCTGACAGAAGTTGATTTGGCACTTTCTGATGTGGCACTTAAAGGTGAACAAGGTTTGCTGGGGTCTCCTACAAGCCTGGGGATATTCAAAATAGAACTGAAAAAGTGAAAAATGGAAGTGACTCAGGAAGAGCAGGATCTCTGATCCTGAGTTAGGACCCCTCATCAGCAGTGTTCAACAACATGTCATCTGTCTTGTGCCAGATTTCAGATATTTTAAATACAAAGGAAATTGTGAAAAAATTATTAGACCTTTGTCCCACTTCCACAGTGAATGCGAGAAAGTCAGGGGAAATCCACAAAGCAAAAAAAAAACAAAAACAAAAAACACATGGCAATTTTTCTATTGTGTTTAATTTCTGCTGCATGGGTAATTAAGATACTACAAAAATGAAATAAAGGGTGAGCTTTTACCTTCTCATACCAGTCACACTGGCATCCTTGGAGCTGTCCACAGCCACTGCCATAGGAACAGGCACTTCAACTGCTCTCCTTGCATTTTCTAGGCAATAAATAATTGCTTGATTCTGATGAGAACACAGCAACATTGCATAACATTCATTTTGTTTTATCCCTTTTCACAGAGGCATCGCAACCTCTTCCCAATTGCACAGAAATAAAACATCCAATTAAACATCAACCTCACACACCCAATTTTTGAAAATGACTGATGTGGGGAGAAGATATTCAGAGCAACTACAGACTATATAAATGTATATAGAATGATTCTTCCACAGTTGAATTTTCTGTGTTTTTTGGCAATTAGAGGCTTAGAGACTTCTGATCTCTCTACTTGGTTGCTTTAAGATTTTACTTACTATGCTGAGTTTACATTACAACAGCCAAAGAAGCACTGAAAGTATTATGACCCAACCCATGAGTCACTGCATGCAAATACACACAAACTGGTCTCTCCTCTCCCTCCTTCCTCTCTCTTAATCCTTCCTCCTTTATACATTATCTGTGGTTTCACAAGGAGAAAGCACAGGTGGGGCAGACAGAGTATGAGTATGTGGTCATATGCAGTTCTGCTCRTAATGACAATGACTCCATGAAAAGATAAAGCAGCCCTGACCTCCTGGAAAGTAATTTTTTTATAGTTATATATGACAGCTAATCCATGAATCTTGAATCAGCAAGAATATTCCCTTAGCTAATTCAGCTCTTTACATGACTGGAAGCTCCAGTTATTCTTTTTGATTAGCACTGGCAAGAATTAAGCAAGACAGTGTGATGGGAAGAGTACGCAAAAGACCAAAAACTAAAATGTGGTTGAAAATAGGACAACCACTCTGCCACGATTTTCAGAAGCTACATTCTTTTTCAAAGATTCTGCATGGCAGAGGACTGATGAAAAATCTAGTGCTGCCCACCAGGGACTATCACAGAATCAATTAAGTTGAAAAAGCCATCTGAGATCATRGAGTCCAACCTCTGAACACCACCTTATCAAACAGACCAAGGCACTGTCCATCATCCTTTCCTTAAACACCTCCAGGGATGGTGACTCCACCATGGCCCTGGACAGTCCATTCCCATGTTTGACAACCCTTTCTGGGAAGAAGTTCCTACTAATGTCCAAATGCAGCACCTSTTCTTCAGACAAGAACAAAGCAAAGAACAGATTCAACATGAAGCACAGTACTTGAGGCAAACTCATTACACTAAGAAGCCAACTTCAGGAGAGGTTTAGCTGGTAGGTTTTTAGCTCTCTGAAGCAAGGAGTGTTTGTACCAACACCAAGTGCACTGCTGACCACAACCACTGATCCAGTAARATAAGGACTCTCAAAAAGAGAAGAACATTGTCTTACTAGTTTTTGTTTCTCCTGTAGCTGGGTACTTACCAGTGTAATTCAGGGATGGGGCTGGAACAGGAGAGAGCTTTGGAGGGACCATGTCAGCAGCAGCAGATTTCTGCTGATCTATCAATTGCAACAGTTTATCCCGTGCTTCTGTACTCTGGCGATTCAGCTCTGCTATTCTCTCCTCCAAGCTCCTTGATACCATGAGATGACTCTAATTGGATAATGGGATAATTACTTCCAAAGGAAAATTTACAAATTGCACTCTCAATAAGGGCATACAATGTAATGCAAGCACTTCTATACATTCAGTTTTCAAAATGAAAGTGAATATAATTAAAAACCACTTCCTGTGAAAAATCTGGTTTTGTCCCTTTTACTGTCCTGTATCTAAGTCCTTAACTGATTAAGCATTACAATATTTTATACTGGTCTTCCTTCAAGCAGGAAAAAATACAGCTATTGTCCATATAATATTAGAAAAAAAAAAATCTCAAATAAACCAAAACAAACCCCCAAACAAACCACCAAACATCCAGCAATTAAATACAATTAAGAATATACTTAGTCAGAGAGACATATATGCAGGAGAGTGTGGGGCAGCAAAAGCAGGTTTCTAGCAGAAGTGTCCCAGAACACATCTTTAAGCCAGGTTTTTTTTGATCCACTTTGACCTCTTCCCCTCCTTCTCAGTAAATGCTTCCACAAAACAACACTTACTGAGAGTTTGCATCACTTTGTAGAACCAAATGACTAAATACTACACAACATAACACAATGTGAAAAGTGGTAATGCTTTCAGCCTACAATTTAAATGAGGAAATTTAAAAACTTTAGAATCCGTCACTGAACAGTCAGTCAGTGTGATGGAACACATAATAGCAAGACAGTAGCAAGGGCAGCAATGTTTTTGTGATGTTAACTTCACTCACTGGGATGCCACAGAATGACTGCTTATTTACAGTTAAAGATTTTCCATGTAAACTGAAGCCTTCAAGGTCTCTCTTTCCCAAAATCTTTGGGATTTGCACAGAGTTGGACTGACAAGACAAACACAACAAGCACATACACTATGATCAAGGATTTGTAAAAGATGTACCTGCACTGACTTTAATCTCATATGCTTTTGAGTCACAATAGTAAAAGACATGTATGACATGGCTTTAAATAAGGATGACAAGAACCTGTGGGTTGGTGCAGTGGTTTCACTAATATTATCCAAACTACAAGAGCTACAYCTGATCACATTGCACTGAGCAAGCTTCTTTTTGCAGCATAATCTTATCCTAAACTTATAAATAAATACAYTGCACACTTTCCAGAACCCACATACAATATAGACCCAGTATGAGAAACTACTGCTGATCTGCTTATGGAATAGTAATTTAAAAAAACCCCACAAGTCCCCAAGCAAACAAATGAAAACAGTAACCAACAACCAGAAAGACACAAAAGCACCAGTAAACTACAGGAAAGCAGACCACCAGAAAGGAGATCCTTCCTTTTCTGTTAAATTCTCACCTGCCCTTGWGAAGAGTCTGCACTAGGATCTGAATTTTGTATGGATTCTTGCTGATGTAGACAATCACTTTTGTCTACAGACACACCTCTGAATTTGCTCAGTTGAGCTTTAATTAGAGCGTTCTGCCGTGTGAGCTCAGCTATCTGTCCCAGCAGATCATCATTTTGGAGTAACTCTTCAACTGTGCTGTTTTTTCCAGTRTCACTTGGGCAGGACAGATTGATTTTCTTGTGGGAACTCTCCAAATCWTTGTCTGCAGGAGGAATTGGTTGCCTTCTAGAGATGGGACAGTTTTCCTCAGTTCTGCTCTGTGTCCTCAGGGAGGAAGGTAAGCTCCTTTCCTTGCATGGCTCTCTTTCAGTAGACTGGGAAATGGCTGTAAACACTACAAACAAGAAAAAAARRAACAGTAAGGACAATGACACGTGATCCTCACTGAGGAAACCAAGAGTGACTTTACTGCATCAGGTTACTAATAATCAAGCAGGAATTTGAATTGTAACATCTGGTCTGAATGGTGTTTTGTTACTGATCGAAACCACTCCATGCAATATCCTGCTGTAAGAACTCACCAGGTTAGAATTTCCTATTGCAAACAGTCTTATATTTAAATGACTTAGAGACAATTAGATGACAATTAGAGATTGTGAGACAARTCACTAAGAAGAGAAATTGTTTTGAATTTCTCAGATTAACTACTTCTAAGTTAGTCCTCTATTTTGAAAAATTCAGTTACCTTACCTAACAAACTAAGTTTTTGTTTCAGTTCTGACATTTATATTGGGTTATTAACAAAACTTTTAGGATACTAAAACAAAAAAAACACAAGACTTTTGGATGATAATAAACTAACTACTTAGCCCCTAAAGAGGAAGCATTGTGGCCAACAAAAGTAGTTAGGTATTTTTTTGTGGTTATCATCAGCAAAGAGATAACACACCACAGAGAGATGACTAAAGTTACAGCACTGGCAGCTGCCACTTGCTAAATCCAAGTTAAATTTGTGATCACAACCAGATTTTCTGTGCTTCATACACCAAACCCATTCCTTCACAAGCTTTAGTTTTTGCCTCTTGAGCACAGATGAACACTTAAAAATTTACACTCAAGTGTGTTTTATGAAACATTGAGCATAAAGAAACATTAAGTTTAACAKTTGTTGAGCCATTTAGCATCAGTCTTATGAGAGTAACAATGTATTTTAGAGAAGTCTCAGAATACACTTCTGTTTTGTTGTTTCAAATGACAGAAGACATCTCACAGTTCTCAATGGGACTGAAACCAGACATTGCTCTTTGTAGAACAAGACCTTTAGTTAACTTCCTACAGATTTCTAATGTATCTCCTCACAGCACAGTAGCCCACCAAGTGGCTGAATTAAATATAAACTTCCAATTGCCCAGCCAACTCAGTAAAAATCAAAAGGCTATTTTTCTGACTTGGAAAAAGCTTACAAAACAACACAGCCAAAAGGGAGGAAATAGGAGGAAAACCCCAAAATCCACTCCTGCAGCCTCCTTCCAGTCAGCCACCATCAAGCTGGCCACAGATGTGATTATCTGCCTCTCAACCAGGGTGTTATCCAGGGTCCTGGCATGTTCAGTGGAATGCATGTGGTTACAATGACAGCTGCAGAAGGAAACAGCTCAGTTTTAGAATCACAAAGGGTGTCCCTTCTGCTCATTTCAGTGAGTCTAAAAGAGAAATACCTTCCCTAATCATCCTAATGAACTTTCTTCCTCCCATCAACCAGAGCTGAGCTACCAATATATGAAACTCCTGGAGCCTATGGATGCTGACACAAGACTGAGCTACCTGGTTTTCTACCACCATGTAATTTCACCCAAAATTTCCTCAATCATTTCCTGTGTATTAAATGAAACCTAATAGGAACCTGGCTCCCACAGCTTCCAAAAATCCCTTTGCTGGGAAGATTGGCTCAAAGCAGGAACACACAKCCTACAGATATYCTGGTGTGTCTGCAATATGRATTGCAGAAACAGAAGTTCCAAACTTCAGTGGTCCCACCATTAAAGGTGATGGAGGCTGGATTACACAGTCAGCAGATGGAAACCTGAAATGTTCTGTAGGTAATCAAGGAAGAGTTTCAGCAATTGCACAGATRTGATAATTGGGTACAAAATTAAAATGTCAGTCCAGACAGACACTGACTGGACTGCTGACAGGAGAAGGAAAACAGTGCACAGGCTGTCTRGCAATAGGCATAGTATGAAAAGAAATTTATATCTGGGTGCTGCAGTATGATATTCCAGCTATAGGGCCAATATGTCTATGCATGCATATTAAAAATTTTCCATAGAAAATACATCTTCTGAGGGAGTTTGAGACTGAAACAGTAACACACAACACAGACTCCCTAAGTCTACTGCAATCAGAGAGATCTCACCATTTTGGAGGGAAGGCAATTCYTGACTGCTCTTCTGCTGTGGTGGTGACAACAGCACAGCTGGCTGGAAGACATGAGCTGGAAAGCTTCTACCAGATCTCATATCACCTGAGGCACCTGGCCCTGGAGGAAACATGAAAAGGTAGATCTTCCTGAGCACATTTCAGCATATTTTCCCTACTGCCTACATCAGTCCAGGGCTCAGAATAGGTCAAGTCAGGTTTTTCAAAAGAAAAAGACAAAGCAGGGATAAACAACAATACCAACAATAACACAATAACAACAAAAAAGGAACAAAAATTGGTCAAACAGCAATGTTACTAAGATTTTTTTTTCTACAACACATATTCAGGTATCTAAAAAGACAAACTAGAGGATGTTCTACACACACTCCTAACTTTCCTCTGATCCCCAGGTACAGAATTCTTCATTAAAGCATATTCTAAATCTTTACTGGCCATAAGAGCAAGAAGAACTCCTACACATAGCCTCAAAATTTCAGGACAGTGGTATGCAGTCTGTACCTCATGCACAAGACTTACTTGTATGTAACTTGAATAGGTGTTTGAGCTGCATTTGGTGACATCTTCTTGAGAAAATGAGACTTATGCATTTKTTCTAATGCCCCATATTATAGATTTGATGACAACAGTGGTGAGATAGAAAACAATTCAAGGCTTTTTTGCTGCTCTTTGCTTTGCAATCGTAATCTTGTTACGATTAAATTTAAATGAGACATCTCTTCAGTAAAAAAAAAAAAAAGAAGTTATTCTATATTAAATTAAAGAAAGGAAAAAAGATTTGAAAATTCTAGTCCTGTAGAATTGCTGAATGTGAAGATWTGGGGGTTTGATTGAGTTTTTTTTGAGGGGTGCTTTTCTGATTGTTTTATATTTTGGAGGTGATTTCTTTTTGTTTGCTTTTACAAAGCCTGAGTCAATCATAAAAAAAAAGGGATCTGGTATATGGCTTCTTCCCCAGAAAAAAATTCTTCCAGGAAGAAAATTTTTGACTATAAAGACTCACAAAACCAACATGTAACTACGTAATACAAATAACTCCAAAAAACTCTTAGGATTCACAAGAAGGTACTGACCTTGAGARTAAAAGCAATGCATTTCAACAACCAACCAGAAAAGACAGCTGGGAGAAAGCTCAGTGGTGAATGAAGGTTATAAGACCAAGGTGAATCATGTTTGCTTAGTTTGGATATCACATCACCCGAGTGGTCACTCCCCTCTCAAAAAAATCACACTCACCAAGTAACAGATCTCTCTGACTGCTTCGGGCCTCAGCAGCTGCTGTTTTGATCAGCAGCGACCTCCAGTGTTTTATGGAATAACCAATCTCAGACTGTCAGGCTGCTCGGCAACAGGAAGCTGAGATCCTGATTCCTGTTTGATCTCTTTGGGTTTCTGGGGTTTTTTTTTAGGACAGAATAAAACTGACTTTGAGAGCCATTTTAATGGGGGAAGGCTACGCTCCTCTTTTGTTTGTACTAGCAGCAGAACCCATAGCACGTGAATTTATAAATGTGACATTAACACTCATGCAAACAGACATCCATTAAATACCAAATTCTCCACTACAGGGATAAACTAGCCACATCTCTTCTTTCATCCTTCACGCGTTCATGTACACACCTTGGCTGTTTGCTGGACCTTTACTAGCAATTCCCAAATGTTTTGGACTTTGTTCTCTTTCAGRTTCTACCAAGGGGAGGCCTTCCAATGCTTGTGTGAGACACATCAGCTTTTCATCTGTTACTGTCATGTATTGCTGAAGCTTCTTCTAAAAGAGGAAAAAAGAAAGATACATAGAATTCRGAAATTTGTATTCTAGCAACATAATTTGGAAAATTATGTACTACAAGCAGTCCTGAGAAGAAATTTGACTTCTWMAKAMT